GGAGGGCTGGGGGGGGCTGAGGGCTGCATGCCCTGGGGCTGGTCCTCTGCCTGGACTTGTGCGCAGCATCACCAGGAGGTCGATTTGGAGCTGCTGCTGGTCCCCCCAGCCCATCCTCTATGTGCTTGTCTGGGGATGCTCTCAGGGCTCTCCTCAGCACCGTGGTGCAATGGCTCCAGCTCTGCCCCCTTGCACTGCCCTCCTCTGCTGCTGGTGACCCCGCTTTGCACCGGTGCTGATTTTTTGGGTGGTGATGGCAGTTGTTGCAGTTTATCTTGGCCCTGCGGTGTGCCCGGACACAGCTGTTTGCCTTGGGAGGAAGGTGGCTCTGGAAGCCCGGACCTGCCCTCAGGTAGCTCTTGACCTCTATCTCGACCTGATGCAAACAGGTGACATTTGCTGAGGTCCTTGGGGGAAAAAAGGGCTGAGAAACCTGCTGTCACAGAGGAGGTCTTCTTGTAGAGCAGGGCCGGGCTCCAGTTGCGCTTTTATTTGCTTGTTAAATATTTTATTTGGCTCTTCTGATTTAGTTTTACGGTGGCTTTAACGGGATCATGCTGTTTTCCAGCTGTCTCTGCACATGTGCAGAGGGAGGGCAAATGGGAATTGGTGGGGCGCACAGAGTAGCGCCTGGCCCCCCAGGAGCTGGGAGGGAGCAAGGACAACGTGAGGCCAAGGAGGCAGGACAAGGACTGGATGCCTGTGCTGCCTCCCGGGGTGCTCCTGGCGTTGTACAGCTCAAGGCCAGCTGGCATAGGTGCATTGGTGTAACCAGCCCCAAAGCATTTTCCTTCCCTGAATTTGCCCACTGGTGCTTTGAAACTGTTTGCGGTGCCTGCAGCGAGTCGCTCTGCAGGTTCATGGCACTTCAGGGCAATGCAGAGGTAGTGCCCACGAACCTGTCTGTGCTGCACCTGCTCCTGGGCTGGGGGCAAGGGGGGAGCACCCAAGAGCCGGGTGTTTTCCAGGGCCAAATGTCCATCCTTGGTGGCACTGGGAGCTGCCTGCCATCCTGTCCTCCTGGCTGGAGACAGGCAGCGTCCTGGGACCAGCACCAGGATGGCTGTGGTCGAGGATCCCTGGGGAGCCCAGGAGGCTGGGTGTGCGTTGGGGAGGCATGACTAACCGGGTAGGGTGGGCATGGTAACACCAAATATTTGAATGGGAGCAGGGTTATTCCGGGTAACGTTGGCTGGTAAAAATAGACGCAGAAAGTAGAAAGGGAAATGCTACCGTGGCTGGAGTGGTGCGTGGGAAAGGGCGTCTGTGCGATGGCAGAGCCAATGCTGGAGGGGTCGGAGGCTAGGGGTGGACATGCTCATGACCTGAACAGCTGCAGCAGAGCGGTCCCTGCAGCGTGGCTGATTCACACAGCACGATGAGCAGCCTCCCCTGAGCACAGCCTGCCACAGTGCCTGCAGCCTGGCTTCCCGAGGGGCGTTAGCAGGTGCTGGGCAGTTGCTCACCCTGCTCTGGTGTTCCCTGCAGCTGAGAAGGTGTCCTCCCTGGGCAAGGACTGGCACAAATTCTGCCTGAAGTGCGAGCGCTGCAACAAGACCCTGACCCCGGGCGGGCACGCTGAGGTAAGAGCCACGGGATTGGAGGGGTTGCTGGCCTGGTGGGCTCTCCAGGGCTCTCTAGGTACCCAATGCCATGAGGGTGGGCTGTCCTGGTGGCACGAGGGCCCAGGAACACATGCTGTGGCTTCAAATGCTGCTGCTGCTGAGGCCTGTGAGGCTCAAGAGCTCTTGTGTGCGGTCCTGGGCAAGCCAGGGTGCAGTGCCCTGGCCATACTGCCCTGGTGTGGGCTCCCAGGCAGCCCGAGGTGGGGCTCGGTGCGCCCTGGCAAGCACTAGCAGCAGCTCCGTGCACCGGGCAGACTTGCTTGGGCATTGCACTGGCTTCAAAGGCACGTGGGTGCTGAGAGCCTGCACTGGAGTGTGGTTAAAGACCAACAAAAATTGGAGATGTGTGGGTTGCCATGGCGATGCTACCTCAGCATTAGTGCTTTCAGTGACGTGGGGCTTGCGCTGGAGTACGATGCCACCATGACTGCCTGGTGCTTGGGAGCACAAGGGTGCTGTGCTGGCGGTGCCAGGTGCTCAGGCCTGGGAGCAACTGTGTTTTCCTTGTGCGATGCCCCAGTGTGACACCCACTGCCCTGGGTTTCGCACAGCGCCTGTCATGGCAGTGTGTCACCAGCTCTTTAGCATAGTTTTAGCACACAGTGCAGCTGGGGAACAGGCGGTGGCAGCAGAGACAGCCCTGCTGGTTGCCACTGGCCCGTGGGGAGTGGGGCTGGTCCTGCCGGGGAGGATGGGGCTGCGTGGGTGGCTCTGTGCTTCGGGGTGGGTTAAGCCCAGGGAATTTGCTGCTTCTCCATATAAGGCCAGATTTTGCTTCTGTGGGGGACAGCAGCCAAGCCCCCACCAGCTGCACCGACAGCAGGATTTGGCCCTTCCCTGTTTTTTCTCCCTCCTTTCAAGCCAGCGTGTCCAGTTGGGTTGGAAAGGTGTCGCGGGGAGACCAGCTAAATGTTTACCTTCCCCTCCAGCATGGCAACGCTGTAAGCACTCGGATATTTATGCCATGCACTATTTTGCAGCTGCCTGCTGCCTGCTCGCTGCCTGCTCGCTCCTCCAGCCTTGTCCCTGTCTGCTTCTAGCCCTCGCCTTCGGGATGGCCCCGATCAGGAAGGCAAGGGAAGGGACAGGGCTCAGGCTGTTTTGGGCAAGGTGTCCCTGCCTTGCCACAGAGGGGATGGAGGGCAGGAGCACTTGGCATGAAGCAGGGCTGAGATGCTGAACGGTGCCAAGCAGGTGATGGGGTCAGTTTGTGTCTGAGGATGGGGTCCCAGTGGGTTTTCCACACAGAGCGGTGTGGGCAGCAGCCACAAATGCTCTTTCTTTTCTCTTGGATTCGGTTCATGCTGGCCCATGAGAAACGTCCATGCAGAGCTCCAGGGCTTATCGTCTGCTTCGTGCCTTCCTGTGATAATCACCCCCGGCCCACAGCAGGGCTGATAGTGGCAGAGCTGGAACCCACACCCACACAGGGCCTCTGATCTCAGGCCAAGTCGAGGGGGAAGACAAAGCTCAGTGAAAGCCATGGTGCTCTGCATGCCTAAAAACTCCCTGATGGCACACAGGATGCTTGACAGGCACAGTGACGCCAGCCCTGCAGCATGGCATGGCCAGAGCAGCTGGAGTGTTTGATGCAGGAGAAATCCTTGAGTGCTGGGGCCAGGTTAGGCTGTCGCTGGCAGACCTGCAGGCTGGGTGCGTTTTGGGATGAGGACATGGCCACGGTGGGCTCTGAACACCAGTGGGGATGGAAGCGGTTGCAAAGTAACTGGTCGCCACTCAGCATCCTAAACACTCGCCTCTCTCCCCAGCATGATGGGAAGCCCTTCTGCCACAAGCCCTGCTACGCCACGCTGTTCGGCCCCAAAGGTACGTCTGTGCTCTCCCACTGCGCCTGTGTGGCTGTGCCCAGGGATGCAGGAGGGGCCAGGTCCCCCCATT